TGTATATTGGGTAATACGAGTGTAATGGTGACTAAAGAGTGTTATTTCATGTCTATTAGAGCCCTCTAGACATGAAATAACACTCTTTAGTCACCATTACACTCGTATTACCCAATATACAGGTATTTGAAAAAACCGCGATAGAGTGAAGCCGCGAAAGTCGAAGCGCGAAGTGGCGAGGGACGACTGTACATGCCCTGGGGGTATCCATTTTGGGAGGAGATGTTTTCAATGATATATATTTGCATCAGTCAGAAAGCTGAAATGTGACATGGACGTACCTACTGCGACTCTGAGTTCAGGAAAAATGTCAAGTTTTGGATATATGCCCTAGGGGCATATTTTTTGGGGGTGACGTTTTTAAATAATTTTTTTTTGTCCACTGAATTGTACAGAGACAGAAAGGTGAAACTTGGCAAAGCAATAACTGAGGTGATGAAAAAATTCAAGTTTTGTGGTGCATACCCCCAGGGCACAGCTTTTGGCTGTGTTGACTTTTCCAAATATATTTTTGCACCAGCAAATAGAGCAAATGGATAAGGCTGAAACTTGGAATGCACATAGTTCTCCAAGTACTGATTTCAGTAAAAAATGTTCATATTTAGGTAAAACCCTTGAGGGCATATTTTTTTGCAAAAGGTGCTTTTTCCAGAAACTTTTCTGATTTAATTAAGGAGAGAACTAAAGAAAGTTGAAACTTGGAGCAGAAGTACCTGTTCGATTGCTGAGTACATGTCCTACTTTTCAAATATGACCCATCAGGGCAGATTATGAAGAGATATGAAGTTAGGCACACAAGAAACAATGGGAGTAATTATTCAGATGAAAATATTGGTTTGTTCTCTCTCAATACACATTCTGATGGGCACATACTTTTAATGTTTTTGCCACTTTGAAAATAAATTGAATGAACCACTATCATGGGAATGGAGCGCCGAAGGCGCAACAATAGCTAGCTAATAACTCGCAAGTTATATTACATTAATTATTTCATAGCATTCTTATTATGGTATTTATTTTCTATAAAATAAAGTTGCAGGGAGACGTATTGTGCCCTTACTTGTATCATAATTGTTTAATATAATTTGATACATTTTACCTTCATGTTCATCTGATACTACATTCATAGGCTGTCGTTTGACCCAGGGTCTACGGAGCGCCATTAGTATAAGTAAGGGCACAATAAGTCCCACTGCAACTTTATTTTATAGAAAATAAATACCATGGTAAGAATGCTATGAAATAATTAATATAATTAAGCAGTTGAACCAGTTTTCATAGGGGGCCATATTGAACGGAGCCAAGGCCACAACCTACTGACATTAGAAAATTCATATAATTTCAATATGTGACAGTAACAGAACAAAACTCATGTTGTCAAAAGTAGACCTTGGGATGCTCTTTCATATGATATGTGATACATATTTTATCTGGATTCCCACATTGTAAAAAATAAGATCAAAGTTCGCTAAAACCATAATGAAAACCAAAATTAGATATTCGACTTTCATTTTCAACATGTGGGAATGAAATGAATCAAATAATACTTACATTATGAAACTGAATCAGAGGTAGACTCTTAGCACTGCAATTTTGGTTTTATGCTGACTCCCACAAAAGATAATGGTGTGGTGAAATAAAAAAAATTATTACATTTGGAAGAAGATATGTAATTTAGGTTTCATATAATCTATATTTTCATTTGAATAATATGATTCTACTATCTCAGACCTTTCATATGAGCCGTTACACGCATTTCTAGCTGGCATAGTTTGAGTTATTAAATTCGCCTGAGGGGTTGCATGTATCTGAAAACTGATGTTTTCAAAATTCATATATTCTTTTCCAACAGAAAGAAGAAGAAAATATATAGGATTTTGGAGTTTCATGTAAGACCGAAAATTTTCTATTTCTTCTGAGGTGATTGAGCATCATCCCTTGGTCAGTTGGCATGGAATGGCCCATGTGTCAGAGCATCAAAACAAGAAGCTGTGATGAAATAGCTCACCCCATCCTCTGGGTGTTCTCCTCTCAGCAAACTTCCTGAGTGGCTCCAACAAAGTGTGATGATATTTATCCCACTTGCGGTATGGGGGTGGGGGTAAGTCCTCGCTAGTTGCTGTCCCAAACTGCTCCTTTATCATTACACTTTTCTCCTTCATCTTCATTTCCTCCGTCTTCATTTTTACAACTGGTCAGCAGCGCAGTTTGTGGGCGTTTTGTTCTTGTGGGAGGAGACCTGGGATTAAAACCAAGTTAGATGCTTATTCAGAATTCATTCCCATGGGAAGGGATACACCCATCACTCCTCTCTTTAATGTAAGATGTGGGACCAAAAATGAACCCCATTGCTGAAGGACAAATCCAGGTGGTGCAATGACTTTTGTCAAATTGAGTTTCCTGCTTGAGGTTATTTGTTTTGAAAACAGGAGGATCGGCTATGTTATAGTGTAAGCTGTTTAGTAAGGGGCTATAATAAATAATTTGACAAGTTGTGCTAACATCATCCAAGAAAATGTTGTTGGCAACTGCAATTGTTAAATTTTTCTTGAGCAACAGGAGACAACAGCACAAATATGGCACATATTTGTCTCAGTTCTCAAGCATTAAGAGACCTCCTTCTCCACCCATGAAAATGCCATATTTAGAACCTCTGACAGTCGCCAAAAAGTGCTCAAGCAAGAAACGCAAGTTTTCTTTCTATTAGGTCTCCACCACTTGGAATAAATTCTTCAAGTTTCAGAAATCAAAATACTAGTATATAACCATTATCAACATCTGTTCCATCAAAAATAATAATATAAATCTACTCCCGTCTCATAGTGCCACCCCCTTCATCACAAAGTCAATGGTGCAGTTAGCTGTTGCACTGGCCTACCTAAACAGGCCTAGGTGTACATTTTCACTCTATTCCCTTATTACCACAGTAACATACATGTAGGTGCACTGCTCTATCGTTCTTCTTTAGCTACTAGCTTCATCTTGAATTAAAAGTGATTTGACTTGAATTGACTAGATAGCGCTAGGGAAGAAAAGCAGGTGAATAATAATGAGTCCGAAAACCTAACAGCCACCTCAATGCCAAGTTATGCCTCTTTGGGCGGCCATGTTTGCCGACGTCTGCGTAGCGCAGCTTCTCATTGGCTGTCACCTCGAGAAGGGAGGGGGGGGGAGCAAGGAGGGAAGGTAGGGATGGAGGAGATCTGAAACCTACAGATCGTGGTGACGTTTGTCCGATTGTCTTGAGGCCGACTCGTGCTGTTCTGTTGCCATCGCGTCATCGCAATGGAGTGGGGAAAATTATGTGTTGGGCACAATACGAATTTCAACAACGAACACCTAATATCCCTGACAATATTTATGATATGTTCCCTTGCAGACGTAAAGCTGGAAAGTCTCCGATGCTCTCCTCGTACCTGCTCTTGTTCCACGCGTGAATGATGTTCGCATCCTGAATATTTATTCTCTTTTCGTCTGATCTTTAGTCAATAGAAATAGGTTTGACGAAATTTTTATTTTATTTGTTTATTTCCGTACCCAAGTTGCAACGGGTGATCCAAAACTCGTCCATGAACAGTCCAGTTGTCCAGAGAGGGCATAAGTCCAGAAGCGGTCGACCTTTGGATGTACATAGGATGTCACCGCCATGGATTGATCTCATGCATTCTGAACTTTATCCGAGCCGAATTTCCCTACATCGAACTTCCAATTATTTCTATACCGGGTGGGACAAAAAAAAAACGCGTCGTGTTTGACGCCTTATAAAATCCGTTGTAGATGATCTAGTTTCATGATATTTTCATATTATGTTGGAAACACCACACAATTTGTTTTCTGAAAGTTTCATGAACTTCGAGCAGTCCTGAAACTCCATCCACCCCGTGCGCGGAAAGGTCAATTTTATGTCTCCACCTTGAGCGACTGTCGATATTTATTCAGACAACTTATGTTCATGAAACTTTCAGAAAACAAATGTTGCGGTGTTTTCAACGTAATATGAAAATATCACGAACCTAGATCATCCACAATGGATTTTATAAGGTGTCAAACACGACGCGTTTTTCTTTGCTCCACCCGGTATTATTGAATGAAGGTTTTATGGAATGGCGTTACGAGCATCTGATCATGGGATTTATTTTGTTCTTTTTTTCCCTTCAAATCTTCCATCTTAGTTTGAAACCCAGTAACTTCATTCATTATATAAATAGTGTAACATTATAATTGGATTAGTGCATGATTTCATTTAGAGTTCGACATTATGAACGAAACGATGTGTCAGACCATCTTTGGGCATTCATTGGACGCTCAGAAAAGGAACTTCCAAGGACAGCTTCTCACGGTCTAGCATTGGATGTCCTTGGATGGAGTCCTCGCCCCGTTAACGCCCCGTCGAGGCTTTCCATCTGGCCTGACATATAGCAGGCCATTCAATAAATATAATGTTCCCACAATATAAGTGAGGTCGCGCTCATCCCGCCGCTGTGTGTCTCCCGATTAATTAAATGCTAACGAATTGTTCTTCGGAATTGCTTTCATCCTATACTCAATGGTTTTCCACGTACAAGCCGAAGGAAAGAAGTCATTCTAATTAATTCATTTGTTGATAGACGTAACGTAGCTCAAGGAGACTCTCCGCAATTCTTGCACATTGCATGGAGAGAGTGTGGTTCCCCTACTCAAGTATGTCTTATTCCTCATTTGTGGGAGCACTTCGTCATTGACCATGGGGGTAACAAGCTTTTGATTGAGAAATTAGCAAGGAAATTGGAGAGCTTCGTCTCAGTAATACTTTCTCTCCATTCTGACGTTTACTCTCCTAGTTCTTAGGAACGTGAGAAAGCGAGATTGTCAATCACCAGAAAAAAATGCTCCTTTCTAATGCCATGAAGGTGCAAGAGCATGCAAATTTTGTTCCATTGCTACCCAGGGATTACTATTGCTGCACCCCTCAATGGTCATCCTATAGCTTTCCCATAGGGAATCTCAAATTGATCCAAAGAGACGGACATCCAATAGGCCAAGCAATGGACATATCCAAGGATTATCCTTGGACGAGACATTTAGTCGTTCGGTGGGTGTCCGTGGAGGATATACAGTGGATTTCCAAGTGTCCTTTAGGGTATGTCCAATGTATTTATTTTTGTTCGAATTTGCTACTTGGGTACCCCACTGACGAAAAAGAAAAATGGGAAGTTTGTATTGACGAAAGTAAAATTCAGAACAAATTTTGTAGTCATATTCTTACAGATATTTTATGTTGTATCGCATGTAAAAGCGAAATATTCTAAACCTGAAATAAATATTTCCAATGAGGAAGATTTTCTTCTTGGTATATACGATTCCCAAAAGTCTTGTTCTTTTGAATTTTGAGACTCGGTCAGACTGAAGTGCGAAATTTAAGAATTATTCCCCAACAGAATAATATACTTCTTTTCCTAAACTGGCTAATCTTATTTCTAATATTAGTCTGGATCGGGTTCGAATACATGCACTCCAACCAATTGAAATCTGTCAGCAAACTTTTTTTGCTCCAACGGAAACTTCGCGAAAATTCTCATTTGGAAGGGGAATTTTGAAAATGTGGATCTTTTGCCAAAATGTAACAGAAAAAGGCTAAATTCTGCTACACAAACAAAAAAAATCTGATTAAGTTGAGATCGATGAATACATTATGAAAACATGATTTCTCCGGAGCCATAACTTCGTCGTTGGGTGGCAGCTAAAAAAATGCCAAATTTGTTCTCACTTCGATGAGATCGCTCATATTAAATTTTATCGCGTTACTAACCGTCCTCGGATCTTTTCGGTGGCATTTTTTAAAGGTCTTGCGAGAAGTATGAGAGTCGTTCCTACCCACTTCCTTCACTGGGAATAATTAACGAATTGTCATTAATTATCAATTATGGGAGTCGGATGTCATCCTTGACAGGGTCAGACCAGTGAGGAATCTCACTGCTGGGTGGAGCCGACATTCTTCAGTTCGTTAACAGGGGATGACGCGGTGCATACGTTTCTAAAATTCTTTCCTTATTACTAGTATTTCGCGAACTAGCAAATCCTCACGAAACTGCATCTGATGTAACAGCTAAGGGACAAAAAAAAAGGGGAAAGCCTAAGTAGAGGCGACGAAGTGCAAGAAGGAAAAGATGGCTGCCCAGAAAAACGTGAGGTTTGCCGAGAGGAGCCAGAGATATACTAAAAGCCCCCATCAGTGGCGTGCCAAAGGGGGTTGGGGGTCATAACCCCCCCCATTCGGATTTGCTGGGCACGCCACTGGCCCCAATACACGAGGCAAGTTCTTGCTAGCAAGTCCTCGCTTACAAGGAGCAAGCGAGGGTGTACACGAAGCTATTGATATTTGACTCTAGCAAGGACTTGCTCGAAAGTTGTCAAGCATCTGTGAAACGAAGTCGGAAAGAGCGAAAACTCGCACCTGCTAATAGATGTCAGAGATATCTTTCGCGGGTCATTGTCTTTGTATTCCTACAAACCTTGACCTGGGTCTAGTCTCTGTATACTTGCAGACCACAATTTAGGCACAATTTTGATGACATGGCGCCACAACTTTCCATTGAAGCCACGGAGGCCCTTATTACTGGCTTCCGTGATCGACCTTGCCTCTGGAACCATATGAAGGAGTACAGTGGCGTAGGGAAGGGGGTTTAGGGGGTTAAAACCTCAGTGGTTAGAACCCACCCCTTAAGCTTCCCGGTCAACAGACATATTTCAACCCTCCTTGGGAATCCCAATTTTAGGTATGCCCCTTCGAGGAAAGTCTGATGTCCGTCCACAGACCCAAGATGCTAGACCACGATTTCTTCGAAAAGGTAAATTCCGGATAGTGGAGCTAGGCGTAGGGTTGGGGTTTCTACCTGGCCTCAACCCCCCCCCCCCCCCTTGCCGATTTCCTGCCTACGCCACTGTTGCCTTTGATTGCTAAAAATTTTCTGACTGCTCTTGCCTCGATAGCATCGATTTCGGTAGAATTGCCTGTAGATGGGTAATATGAATTTAATATAGATAATTGCTCAAAAGACGCGGCTGTGCCAATTTTATGTTATCATTCTCTAGTGGAATATATTTTATCTGCAGCGTAATAAATGTCTAGAATTTCGCTCAGAAGTAGTCGAACGACAGAACTTTTTAAACGCTCCTCGTATTTACTAGTACCTGTGTTTATATGTGACTGGTCAATAACCTATCCTTAGCTATAAGTAGCAATACAGTACACTTTTTTTTAGATTGAATTCGAACCCCTAGGTAGTGGAGAATGAAGAAAACACTACTTCCAGTAAATCCGCTTCATCAGAGGATTCCGAACCACCCTTGTGAAAGGTGTCACCACCGGCAATCGAAGAGAGCGCTACTTTGGAGGGGTATGAATTCAACCCGTAAACTGTGTAGAGCGAGATGCATGCCAAAAATCAATATATATATATTTGGAGCATTGGCCAATCATGAAAGAAACTGTCGGCCTTAACTAATGGTATCAGTATGGGCAGATAGGAACACCTCTAGTCCCAACCGAAACCTTGAATCTGTTACTGCAGCTGTGGCTTTATTAGGCCTAAGGATAGTCTAATTGGAGCTGACTTGGCCTAGGGCTTAGACCCTATTGGCAAGCAAAGTTTGCCCCCTCTTCCCTTTTATTTTGGCAGGTCCTTTGGCCTGTAACCTAGACATAGCATATCCTAGCCAAGCCAAACTCTTCTCAGGCCAGATAAAAATGTGTTTAACAGCATGCCCTTCAGGTACCTGTATCAGGTGCATCTGTGAACTTGCTTGGAACCTGCATTTTCAGGTGTGATAAGACTGAACTGGGATAATCCGAAAGATAGAAAAAAATCTCACCAGAAGCAAGTGTGCCTATGAAATTGTTACATCCCAGCTACAGCCATGAAGTTGAAACCCAAGGCTCATATGGGACTTCATCAATACGTTGTTGAAAGATACTTGGAATATGTGAAGCATTATGAGAGTGCAATTGAGAGAAACTTTCCAAGGGCTTTCCAGATATACAAGACATTTAGTGTTGGCATGAAAGATTTTCTCAGTGATCTTCGAGATTATGCTAAACTAACACTTACCAAACCAGCTACTTCTGGAGGGTATTACAAAATGAACAGACGTGAGTCAGAGCTCTGTTATCAAATGCCCAAGCACATGCTGAAAATGGGCCCCATTCTCATTTTGACTGCACTTCCTTTTGTCAGCTATGGCCTGTTCCCATTAGTGTGAGTTGACATCCTTGAAACCATATTTTTATAAGCATGGGAGACACTTTCAATGTATTATTTTTTATTTTTACTTTTCACTGCTTGCCTTCAGTGTCAAATATCCAAGGGCATTCCTGACACCTCACTTCTGGTCAGTGCAGCAGAGGATTGAATTTGCTCTCAAGAGTCACAGAAAGAAGTTGCAGTTTTATCAACCTGTACTGCTTCATCTTCAGGCTCTCTCAGAACACATGGAACATGGATCAATGAAGAATGAATGCTCAAAGGTAATCTCAAAGCTTGTGTATGGTGTCCACCCAACAATTCCAGATTTGCTTCGTATCCAGGGAGCCTTCAGTGAACAGGGCCCCTTCCATCTCAGTCACCTCAACTCAGCACACATTGTAAGTCCAAGAAGCCACAGATTACCATCACTGTAAAACCAGTTTTCTAGCCAAGACAAGGAGGCTAAGCCTTCACTATCCAGGTGACCTATCAGCAAACTTGATTTTTGAACAATTTTACTTTGGCGTATGCAGTTTTTCACCCACTGCCAATGTCAGCCCTCATGACAGCCATTTACATTGGAACATACATGCTGGCCTCTGCAGGGGACTCTATATTCCAAAGTGCAATTTAACAATCTTAAAGTATGTATATCTGATGCTAATTGGGATAACTGGTCATGCTGCTAAATTTGCTCAGGAGTTTGCAAATATATACTCGAGTAAAAAAAATTTAATAGATGCCAACACCCTTTTCCAGTATAGTGGTAATGAAGAAGCTAGGGTTTTCCCTTCTAGACCAAGCTTCTACACATGCATGGGATCACAGCATGGACATGCAAAAGGCGGGCTTTGAGGAAGTATGGCTTAATGCTCCTTCAAGTTGACTCCGCTTTGTATCATGAGGGCATTTACCTCTTGCAGTCAGATGACCTTAGAAAGGTAAATTCCTTGTAGAAAACATTCTGAGTCATCATGGTTCTCCTTTTTCTCCCATCCTCATGTTATTGGTAACTGCATTTTCAGGAGTTGTTCCTGCGAGGAGTGAACCCTTCCAACATGTCTCGCGAGAAGATGCTGGAATGGCTTGAAAGCTGGCTCACTCTAAGTCAGCATGTGAAGCCAAATATTTTGTCTCTTCTCCTTCATTCTCCAATATTCCTCAGTTACAATCATCCAATGAATTGGGTTCCATTCTACCCATCATCTATGCATTGAAAATTCCAGGAGTTTCAACATCTTATGCATTAATTTAACAGTCTTAGTTATCCTTTAGTGGTTCCATTTGCTGTGATATTTTGGTGTAGAATGTGATATTCAAATAAATGAAATTCTGTCAGTCATTTTTATATTCTTACATGGAGTATCAAAACGAACAAATAGATACATCAAATAAGTGCAGAAAATTGATTACCTATACAATACCACCTGTGACTTGCCACCTAGCCATTCTCTGATAGTCTCTCTTTGCCACATTGTAGTAATCATCATTTAATGGAGAGGCAGAGATGCCAAATAATTTGCTTGGTGAATTGAACATCCTAAGGGCTCTCCTCCATCACAGTTCCCATTGTTCCAACAATTCAACAGAAATTCAAAAAGCGGAACACATACACACACGCATCCACAAGCAAATCCTTCACAGCATTCAATGTCATGTCTGGTCAAGCTGCCTTCCCACCAAAACCACTGAATTCAACTTCTTTCACAATTCTTTTGCCACTCTTCTAGTTCTTGGGTTCTCTACAAGGGTGAAAATTTCCATGATTGTACAAATGACAGACACAATGGACATTCTTATGGTGTCCAATCTCCTCCAAGTGGTCACAGGAGCTGACACATCATCTGACTTGCCTTATTCTACTTCACCTGAGTCAAACAAGTTTTCATTTGACATGGCATTATATGACTCTTGCGTTAGGTTATTGTGAAGAATCTTGGCCTCCCCTTTCTTCAGTCAAGAGAAAACAATGTCAAACTCAACTGAACAATATTCTTTTCCCTGTAGGTATCTTCAATATACCAGACATGAATACAAACCAAAATAGATTTATGTGCATATTATTTTTGCGATAATTACATCACAGGGTCACCTACTGAATGTGTACTGATGCTGCACATATATATGGCATATACTGTACCATTATCTATTGTGCAATGTAAGAAGATTGGGGTTATAATGCTAACCAGAAATTGCACATGATGTTAGCATGAGAGCCATGCCAAGGTGATCAATCAGAATTATATTAAATTCAAATTCTTTGCACTAAGTCTTAAGTGCAGGAACCCCTTGATTGCTAATATGCACAAGTCTCCTTTCAATAACTACAGCAGCATGAGACCCTGAAGAGAAAAGGCAGCTTCCATGCTCAACAGAGCAGAAATAAACTAAGACCCTAGTCTGAGCATACCAGAAAGCTTGCTCAGTCCTATCTTGGGTCCTTGGAATCTCTATACTCTAAAAAAGCATTGATATCAATCAGGCAATAAAAGACAAAATCATGTTCATAAAGAAAAGTGTGATCAGGAGGGAAGAATACCATGGGAAATGGAACCATCAGATGACGTGTAGAAAAGAATAATGAGACATTATTCATGTCAACACAGGGACATGAATGACTGTAAAGAATACTCTATAGCAGAAAGGCAGAAGTAACTATAAACTTCCAGTTAGATGCTGCATTTATCTCTGCCTTCAGGCTACACAATAGCACCAATGAGGCTCTTACAGGGCTTCTTCAAATCATTGTCAAACACTGGCATATGAAACCACAATGCTAACACTCATAAAATGCTCTGTATCAAGAACATAATGGAGACAGATGCTTTTATGTCCTTAGGAAAGAAGAGGAATCAAAAAGTTTCAACAACATTAACTTGCATACAAGGGTCTGCTCCAGTTGGGATTCCTTTGGTATTTGAGAGCAATGGGAAAAGACTTTATATGCAATCAGAAATAGGAAGCAGGGATGTAGTTAGCACGAACTACCTCTGTCGGCACTTGGGCTATCATCTGCTTGTGCTATAGTTTCAGACTCACATTTTTCTTCCATTATTTCCTTACTTTCACTCACTGATTCAATGGCTTGGTCTGGTATTTCAACTTCCTTTCCTTGGGTATGTGGATCTGCCTCTTCCTTTCCTTGACCTGACTTTTCATCTTTTTCATGGGTATTTAGACTCACCTCTCCAATAACTCCATTTGATTTTTCATTGTCCCTCTCAAGGGAATGATCAAACTGAACAGACACATCAGGGACTTTTTCAACATCTACTCCATCAGTTACATTTTGTCTTGGGGTTTCTCCCATGTTTACCAATATTTCAACATTATGAGGTATCTCTTCATCTTGTTGGGCTATCTTAGAGGGGATGGCAGCTTCAAATGTGTCATCTGTAGAACACTCTTCAATGTGACTCTGCTCATCAGGCTGAATGGCCATTTCTCTCACAGCATCAGCCAGGGAAGAAACAACCTGGGTAGGATCGTGATCTGAAGCTGGAAGTTTCAAGGATTCATCATCTTCCACTAATACATCCTCCCTGGCTGCTTCTGCACCAGATTCCATCCTGTCAGTTTGCTGAGACTCTTCTGGTTTTCCTTGCAATTCTGGAGGAGGAACTATTGGGATGGCAGCTTTTGGTCTCTTAGTGGGGATAGTTCTTGAAGGCATAACTTGATTATGAGTATTGTAGTAGGCAACACCATTGCTGAAGATTTCCTGGGGTTGTGACTGTAATAAAGAAAACCACAAGTAATACAAGCTCAGAAAATAGTCTTCTGCAGTATAATTTCTTAAAGTGATCAACAGATGCATAAAGCAAACAATTTCTTGAAATGAGAGAAAATGCATTTTCTACTGATGTTATGAAACAAGTAAAGTAGGCTGTCACTTTAAAGCATAGGGTAATTAAAAAAATACTCCACTCTGGCTTTGGGGATATACTGTACCTAATGCTAATCACTGAATGTTCTTTTGGCTAAATGCAAAATAAATGTTCAATATTGAAGAATGATTCACTTCTATTGAGTAACCATGAATAATAGGTTTCAAACTTGACAACCATACATTTCTAAAGCTTAGTGAAGCAAAATAGGCTTCAATTCTGAAGTAAATATTCAATTCTACATTTACAGCTTAAATCTCAGGATTGTATGAGCTTACTGATGGCAGCAAAAGCTGTAATGTTGTTAATAAAATTATCACCACTACACAACAGTATATTTTAATCTTTTTTTAAGCAACAGGTACTCCTTTTATTTTAGATCATAAAACATTTTGCCAACAAAGATGTCTGCAAAATGGAGGTTGAGATGGAGACAAATATGGAGCAAAACCCCCTCAAATTGAAAAATAAACATTTGAAAATGAATGAGTTGAAGGTCAGAAGGGCTTTTTCATGAAGTACCTTTACCAAAGTTCAGTCATTAGTGCTTGTAGATCAAATGTTGCCCAACAACTAATTGATACAACCACTTGATTTCAACAGTGAGAAACCTTATATTCTGGTTTTGTTTCACAAATAATTTTTTAATGATGAATGGCAGTGAATGGTCTCAATGAATCGCAGTGAAAGCCTACATCAGATTATAACCAAGAAACTGATAGGCTTGGGTATTTCTATACTTAGGTTACTTACTCTACACTAAGCAAAACAAGTTCCACATACCACAGGCAAGGGAGGAAACCCTTGAAAAGCAGGAGGAGGGGGAAACTGAGTAGGATATTGAGCACTAGGAGGGAAATTGAGCATAGTACCATCAGGAGGAGGTGGAGGGTGAGAAGGCAAGTAACTAGAGGGAAGGGCTGGGGGAGGGGGAGGAGGATGTGGTGGAGCAAAGAGTCTAGGACTCTGGGTACTTGGGATGAATGTTGGGGGAGCTGGAAAAGGAGGTGCAGTTGGTGGAGCAGTGGCTGGAGAAAATGTTGTTGATGTTTGAGCCACTTCTGTTGTATCCACATACAGCTGCCCCTGATATCCTAAAACATGAACCACAAGATTCAAGAATCCCTTGCCAGCTGGTAACATCTGAAAAAAAAACTGTACAAGAGGCATGGTAACCAACAACCACAAATAGTTGATTGCAATATCATTCAAAATATTGCAAACAGCCTCAAGCAGCTCTTTGTTGTTCCTGCAGCATTTCCTGGGTACTATTTTGTAGATAACATCTCAGACATACTTGATTGGGTTCATATCTTCACCCTGCTCCTTCCAGGATTTGGACATCAATGACAACCTCTTCCAGTTTGGTTCTGGACTGCCTGGAACTGTGTGCTGGAGTGGAATCACACTTAAGTGTGGCTCAGTAACATCAGGGAAGAATCATTGAAAGGTGGGAAAGATGTGATCCTTGATCAGTATATAATATTGTTTTCCCCATTCTGCTTGCATCAGACCAAGTTATTGGTACCTTGGTTGCTGGTCATTCCCCACATAATGATACCACCATCCCCAACCATGTCACTGGCTCAATGGATAGGGGCTCGGACTACCATGCAAGAGGTCCAGGCTTGAATCTGATTGGTGGCAGGTGGTATTCTCCTGGGCTAACAGCTCACTCAACTGCTTTCAGGTGCTACCTGCTCTCCCTTGTGTTGAAGCATAAGCCTCTCTGTGCTCCACTGTGTGAGAGGTAGGTTTGGTGTGCCTCAATAGCACCTGCCACATTGGCCTGATGCGCAGTGAGGGAAGGCTTCAGGCTTAACTGCATTGAAGTTGCTGTCACTTTGCCCATGAAAACAGGATACATAGTGACAGAGAACATGGGAAGGTGTGGCAATGATGTCAGGGATTTTCAATCTGAAACCCCTTTCCTCTTCACTCTGTTGAGCTGCTTATGGCATATGTCCCTGTCTGTGTGTCTTCCCCAATCCACATTTACAACAACAACAAAAAAATACAACTATCCCCAAAATTTACAGTCCTGTTTCAACAGAATTAGTTAGATTGTCCATCAGGGTGTCACCAAAACCATCCCTGCCAATCACAAACCAATCACATCTATGACTCATTGCTAAAAGCAACTCCTGGCTTGCGGTTCATCCCTGTCAATGCATCTCATCCATGTCAGCATGCCTCTGCGCTAACTCTAGCCTATTTTTCAGCTGGTATCTTAAGGGTATCTTCAGGAGGTGTAGAGCAGCCAGGAAAGCACTCTTGACTGTCACGAACATGAAGTATAAGCATGAGTGGGAGGGGAGGCATATGGACTGCACTGGGGCACAGGGAAGCAGGGAGACATTTACAGCAATGCATTTGGAGATACCCTGTGGAACAATTTAACTAATTCTGTTAGAAGAGGATTGTCAATTTTGGGGATGGTGGTATCATTATGTGTTGATGGTGTGACCATCAACCAAGGTACCAGTAACTTGATCTGATGCAAGGAGAATGGGGAAAACAATATTATATACTGATCAAGGATCACATCTTTCCCACTAGGCAACGATTCTTCCCTGATGTTATTGAGTCACACTTAAGTGTGATTCCACTCCAGCACACAGTTCCAGGCAGTCCAGAACCAAACTGGAAGTGGTCGTCATTGATGTCCAAATCCTGGAAGGAGCAGGGTGAAGATATGAACCCAATCAAGTATGTCTGAGATGTTATCTACAAAAGAGTACCCAGGAAATGCTGCAGGAACAACAACCTTTATCTTCCCTAAATGAGGTACATGCATTCAGGGCTGAGCATCTACTGCTGCTCTCTCCTTTTTCTACCATTGAATCTCCATAGGGTTTTTGGTTAAAATCCATAAACTGTGCAAGTCAAGATGCAAGATAATGTGCAATCCTGTCATTCTCACCTCATGTGCTTTTACACACTTCAGAAATGATATTTTGTCAAATGTTTCTTACAGATTGACTGCCATTAGACCCACTGGTGGGCTAAAGGGGTTTTTCCTGCAGGGCTGTTAGAACCACTGGTGGACTAAACGTGGCTTTTGCTTCCACATGCTTGGATATATATTGGTTTGGTAGGAGGGTGTAGGCATTTGTGCTATGGCCACAGAAGGGTGTTTACTGCAAACAGGACTATATTCACAAGTATTACACAACATCTGTTAAAATGCAGTTCGTTATCCAAGTTTCTGTATAACAGCATTGATGATACGAATTAGGAACTCTTGTAAATATCACTAAGTGCTTTGTACTTCAAGATCCCTTTGTCAAAAACAAAGGGATCATTGGGGATTTTGGCTGACTCTTTGGTAATTTCCAAAATTCCAATCAAAGAATAAATGTAGGAATATTACAGTACTTTGAATATTTTAAAATATATTTTTCCCTCCCATTGCTTTCTGAATACCATATGCTCAAAGAACTTTGAATACTTTGAATTCTAAAAAAACTTACATATTTCAAAGAAAGCATTGCAGATAATGGGTAATCTTTACTTGTGATGTTTTAAGAATATGGAAAAAAAAAGGCAATATTTTACCAGGTAATGTCCCTTGTGAAGTTGGTGTACATCCTCTAGTAGATTATGACACTGACTGACAACTCAGCATGTGACAGAATGTCTGAACATGCTTCAAAGTTTAGGACAATAGTTGCTCTAATTACCTCTGAGATGCACAACACCACAAAGAGGATGTAAGCCCACCAGTGTCCTAATGAAACTGATGCCAATAACGTCATCAGTGTGTTATGATAAAATAATGAAAAGAGTATCTCGAATTGGCCAATTTCTTACTATGTACTACAGGATTGGCCAAAAAAAGGAAGCAAAGCTTTTGAAGTAGTCAGGTTTGCTCAGGTGCCCACACCAGAAAATCTCAGAACATTTGCATGGGAATGGCTTAAATTTCAGGCATATGCATTTCAATTTCAGATGGATAAAACACATGAAAAATGTTCTGTTAAGTTTCTATAATGAGTCATCTGCAGAAAAATATTTTTTAGTCTCCTAAGCATGAGAAGACATATGCCACTCTCCTGCTGACCCTATAATTTTCCTTTCAAATTGTTCTTATGTATCTTGGTAATGTGTGTTTTCTTTAAATATTTTTATTGAGACTAACATTTGAGTTGTGATTTTCTTGTGAATCTGTGCATCCAAAAGGGGCAAATGTGAAAATTAGGTCACCCTGAAGGTGCTGCTACCTGCAAACTCACACTTAGGAGGTTAAGCAAAAACCAAGTCTGAATTTGCACCTTGCAATGACAGTTGCATGACTATTCATTCAGAATATTGACAATTTTGAAAAATTAGCCATAACTCAAGCATGGGTAATCTTAGACACATTAAATTTTAGAATCTCTTGCAAACAAATTAGTAGACATTCCATTAAATTTTTAAGTCAATCAATCAGTTAAGAAATATGGATTTTTATCATATTTTAAGTGTTTTACTTTTTTTGGCCAACCCTGTAGCTTTGGCCCAAGAGGGAGGGGTTTGGAAATGTGCCAAAAATGGCTGTGACAGTCAACATGTTAATCAGCATCAAAGACTAGAGATCCAAGCTAAGATGAGTTCCATTCCTCTCCAATTTTGATTTCCTCTCTCACTCACTCTCCTTTGAACAATTAGATTGGATGAACTGCTTTAGCAAGCAACATGGGTTCAGGGAAGTGCCTTGCTTTCACATAAACAATCATGCATTTATCACACATTTTCTTCTACCTCCAAACCAGATGAAGAAACATAAAATGCCCATTTTATCTATCCTCTATCATATGAGTAAATATAAGTACATACTTTTAAGCTTGATTCTGCATTTAATTATGGTTTCTCAGCAGAATTGGGCAAGCAGGTTTCCTGAAAAATGATTCCAAACCTGAAACCTAAAACAGGGCAATATCTTTCTCCAAGGGAGTAGCTGAATCTAGTCTTTCAGTGCAAAAGTAGGTGTCAAACGGAGGCAGTAAAAAAAAAAAACTATTTGCGCATATGTTGCTGTCAGTGCTACATAGCAGACCCTGGATCCACTGGAAATTCATTTCTGATATTGATGAAGGCATCTCCCAAAATAGCAAATTAACAGGCCTTAGTTACCAGAAATATTTTATTTGCTTATTAACTATTAACTATTTCTTCCTTCTCTCTTTCACCACCTCCCTCATTCAAAAATCTTTGGCGATAAATGGCAATACTAACAATGGCAAATTCATCTTGAGAGCATAGTTGGACACCCCCAGACTGGTGTAAAGTGAGAACAAGCAAAGATATTGAGCAACTACATTCAGAAAAGCAGGATGGTGATGTCAGTGGACCCTTGCCCAGCAGCAGACTTTATGAACAAGCCTTTTCCTCCCTGTAGTTAGACTAACCTTCAATCCAAAATCTTGGATACACCCCTTCAAGACATGACATTTTCATGAAACCAGTATTACCCTGAAAATTTCTCAAACTTAACTCACCATCTTCATAAAAATTTTGTCCTTGTTGGAAAGGAGAAGGCCCTGCCATCCCCTCCATGAGATTCCGAGTCCTCTGAGTTGAGTAACGCTTTGAGCGGCTTTCCTGCAAACGAGGAGGAACTTCTGGCTGTCGATGAATAACACCACTGCCACCTGAAAGTAAAAAGCAAGGATAATGCCTTTCCCAAGCCCAAGCAATAAGAAAGCTCTACAAATACTCATGTTCAATCTGTTTATTATAATTATTATTATTATATTTTATTTTAATTTTAAAGATGGGACATAGAACTAACACATATGACAAGAAACATATGATACAGAGAGAGAAAAAAAAGGTGCCTATTTGGCATAGGCATTAAACTCAATCACAGTCCTCCTGATAGGGATGCCCTTCCATGTAGGAGGCCTTAACCCTTTGAGCCCTCACCACCGCTTTACCGGTGGTAGAGAGAAATTATGTATTGCCTGATTGGCACACAAAGAAAGAATTCTGGCGTTAAAATGAAGGTACGTCATCCTGCTATTTGCATGCAAAGCATCAATCTCATCTCTTTTATTACAACTATGATATTTGCACAAACATTGTATACCCATTATTAGCAAATTTTGGCCCAGGAGCTCAGGGCTCAAAGGGTTAACCCTTTGGCTGTTTGCCTGAGTACATACTCAGGCTAATGCAGTGGTAGCATGGGTATGTTCTCGGGCTCAGAACATTCATTGTTTCTAGGTTACTTCATAGATATTTATGGATGTAACTGCCACCTTCAACAGTTATCATGATATGAAATTATCTTACATAAACTATTGTTTTTAAACAAGCAGGGCCAATTTTCATACAAAACGTATCAGTCATCCCCCATGTTATAACAGTCAAAGGGTTAAGGGCAGCTCACAGGTTTCCTATGGTCATGACTGGCACAGGCAAATTTTAGAGCATACTATGTCCATATCTCAGTGGTGGCACGTGTTACCCTGATACTAGGAAGAAACTCCCCTAAAAGCAAGTGGGTCACCCCAAGGTAGAAAAGAGCCAGCTACCACAGAGACTCAATCACCTCCTGAGTTTGGTCAGGAGCCTGAATAACTTTTCTGCCAATTTAGTAATGGGTGACAAGAGGGATAAAGTAGTAATCTCATAGTCAAAACATTCCAAAGCCCTTACTATTCATATTACAGCTCCACTTTTGCAGAAGATCATGTAGAATAGAAAAGACTATGCAATTTGGGAAATTCAGAAACTGGTATTCTTATGCCTACTTCTATTCTGATTTATTTCTGGACATGATTGCCTGCATATGCACAAAGCATAAGTATATGCTTAAAAAATACAATAACACACTACAAAAACAGGTTTATCAATTGAGACTGCTTGTCACCTACACTGAGTTGTACTGGAACACATAAAAGTGATACATACAGCAAGGAGTTGCATACAGATTGCTTGTTCACTGCAATTTTCAATGCACAGTGGGTGAAGTTTTGATTTTAACAACTTTTCTTTAGGGAATTATAGAATGGTATTTCACTTTGGATTGAAACAGAAGCTACTGACCCAGATCACCCATCACCAGCTGTTTCATTTCCAATTTTGTCAAGTCATGGTTCTTCATTTTCTAATGGTTTTAGATTTATTTCTGTAAGTGACCTGATCCATCTGCAACAATTAGAGACATGCCTGTTACATAGACTACCCTTAAGAAAATACATAATAGATAACCAAGAACCAAAGAATACATCAACAGCTAACATTCAGAAGAAAAGGGGGATGTTTTGATGCCATCTTTTAAGTCCCAAAACCTGTGCATTTGGGTAATTTCATAAAAAAATGTTTGACTTTCATCAAATTCTATTCTCTTATTCTTCAATGAGTTAATAAAATTGCTTTACAAGAACTTCACTGAACTAGGAGGACTTTTACTCTGAGACAAAACAGATAAGAAAACTTACGTGAAGGCTTTTTCTCCTTGGGCTCAACCTTTCGCTCACTTGGAGGAGACTCATCAGCATTAGGAAGTTCAACTTTTCTCCCAGTCCGACCCTCTGATGAGCTACGTGGTTCCACTTGCTTGCCACCAGGGCGATGGCTGATTTTTCCACCTCTAACCCACGAGGAGCGAGGACTGTATGAGAACCGAGATTCAGTCTGTGTTTCTCTTTCCACTCTTTCAATTCCAGACAAAAAGTCAAATGATTCAGCCATATTGTCATGCTTATTTATGCCATTCACTTCCTTTGAGGATGGTATTATGTCTCTTGGTTCACTGTAGCTCCGTTTTGTATCTTGGGCAGGGTCTAAATCTTCATTTCTCAAAGGTCTTTGCCTAGCAGTTGCACTTTCCAAGGATGGGAAATAATCTTCATCATCAAGAACAGGATATGGTCGATCTGACCAATCCTTCAGTTCTGGCTGACCACGTCTGGCAAAATCTCCCCTTCCACCACGATAAAAACCTCTGTCATATCCTCTTCTTCCTCTGCCACGTCCAGGAAACCCTCTAACAGGCTTTGAATAGGCATCAACATCTTCCCATCTTCTATCATACTTGTTTGGGCCACGCCTGGAATATAATTGATGGCCAATGAGATTAGTTGAAAAAAGAATGACTATACTCACCAGTTCTTGAACTAGACAGTACATAAACAAAGAAAAGTAATGTGCTTTACATCTAATTGAATTTAGCATGTGCAGTTTCGGTACTGGCATACATTATGCTGGAACGGTCTTAGCAAAAACAAATATACCAGGCATTTCAAAATTCACTTCCACTGGTTATGTAACCATAGAAAGCATACTGTTGGACATAGAGGTACCAAACTTGGTTTGTGAATCAATTCAACAATGGGGAAGGGAATGCATTCATGTTCGTAATATCAATGGAAAGTGTTCATAGATGTCCCGTGTGGCTCCCATTGGTTGTATATCCCAAAGACCAATGTCTGTTGGGGTGAGGCCAGGTGACCTATCAGGCCAATAACAAAGTTCAAAAGTTCTGAGTATCATTTTGGTTCAAGGTGTCAGCTGATCAAATAATCTCTGAAAGTGACCATAGGGACACATTTCACAATGTTTGCTATGTGGAGTGGAACACCATCTTGCATGACGACAGCATACCATTTTATCGGTGCATCAACAACTGCTTCAGGTTTTGCAACTATGACTTTCATAACCATACCCAAAACCCCTGTGGTGTCACTATAATGTGCATTGCCTTCCCCAAGGTTAAATTGGTCTGTATTACAATTTTCATGACATTGCTTGACATTTGACATTGACACAGCATGCTTGATGCGATCATCTGAACAGTGAGACTATTGAAACTCCTAGTAAGTTAGCAATGAGATACCCATATCTGCGTCTCCTCCTTGCCCTGGGTGGACCATCCTCTTCTCGAATATCATAACCATATGCTGATATGAGCTCCTCTCGAGACTTGGGGATCTGTTCATTCTCATTGAACTTGTCATGCATCCATCGGTCACCTGCATCCTTCCATACCTTTTTTTTCTCCTCTTTAACATCTTTCTTGGTCACTTCCCTGAAAAACACAATAGCACATTTGGAAAAATGATAATTCAATTGTTCAAGAAATGGTCAATGTTTCAGATTTGAAAAATCTCAAAAAAGAAATCAGGATGAAAGGCCCAGCTAACAAAGATGGATAGGGAAAAAAAGCTGTCCTCTCTGGAGGGAATCCACTGTCTCATCTTTGGTTTTTTTCCTTCCCACTCATGTTCTGAGCTTTGTGGTATCCTTTCATCACATACATATTACTTTTCCATTTGCCTATTTTGAGCACAATGCTTTGCTTCCAAGAGTGCTGATTCATCAGCATATCATGACAACCTTATATATCTAGTTGACCCTCAGAACATTTTCATCAAAAAATTCTTTCAGTCTCCAGTACACTTGCTGTATTTAGGCAAAATCAAAATTTTGCCAGATTCAATTTCATTTTAGCCTGGTTTCACTGTCAGGGGTTGTGTTTACGTGTGTCCTATGTGCGTCCTATACGCGTCCTATGCGTGCGTCCTATACGCACAAAATTCTGAAGAGACGTACAACAGAAAAACATCGGGGTCCCAGAGACGTGCAGGAAAGTTCTAGATTTTCTAACTACCAGTTGGCAGTTGCCTCTTAGAACTGTGCCTAAATAAACCCATGTATTAGTGACAGGATGGGGGGGGGGGAAGGTCCTTGCCGTGGAAGGTGCGCGACGTGAAAGTGATGAGGGTGGCACATGATGCATTGTGTTCACGCATTCAAGACTTATTTCCATTCGTTTCAATTTAGACTTCAGGGCAGTTTGGGTCAACACTCTTCTCGTTCAGTTACAAGCAGAAAATGTATTATGTTAGTTTATTCTAATCATACGTTGGCATGTGTTCAGATGTTCCTGAACGTGGGTCTAGTGGCACATAAAGAAAGATATCAACAGCGTAGGTATAAATTCTAAACAAAGGTGATGTCATTGTTCCACTTAATGTGCACAGAGAAGGGAAGATTGCTGTAGGCTTTGACCTAGTCAAACTGAAGGGAAGGAGATGGATGTGGGCAATTATGAAAATGGGTAGCTTGTAAACCATGAATCACAACAAAGGAAAAAAGATTTAAAAAGTGGAAAAAAGCGTGGGTCAAAATGTATTCCTGGCTTTCCTATAGAGATGGAAGAGCTTCCTGTGATTTCTGCTCAAATGCAAATAAGAAAAATCCCTACTCAGCATCTAGCAGTTGTAATAAGAAGAAATTTGTAATTTGAAAATTTGAAGATGCCCTAGGGATATTTGTCAAAGAGAAAATGTTGGAAGTAGTCTTAAAGCTGCTGGATTGAATATCATGCTTTTGGTCATGTTAAATCAAAGAAAAAACATTGACTGTGGGATTTGAAACTTTTTGTGCAACTTTGCAAGATTTCATCATGCTTCAATTGTGATGGGACCCCCAAATTTTTCTGAGTGACCCTTTCTTATAAGACTTAAAGAGTCCTGAGGACCCTTAAGGCAAGAAAATTAGCAAAGGCCCTGACTGTAGTAATAAGTTGCTTCCATAGTTTTCACCACATCATAGTCCCAAGCCATTAATGTTACTTTAATCATATTTCAGTCCCATATTACACATTAGTGATTGATATTCATTTAAAAAAAGCCTATCACCACGAGGCACTCTGTCATAAAATTCCACTTGCATTGCCAGAGTTTCACAATCAGACTGAACACTTGCTTGATATCAGCCTTGGTGTGTGCCATGGCAGGAAGACATCAACATCAGATCTTGCTATGTAATATAATAATATCTTACTGTCTTCTTCCAAAATGAAAGGACATTTTCATCTCCAAGTTCTTGTTACCTAATGCTGCAGTATTGGTTAAGTTCTCATTCTTAGCAGGTGCTCGTCAGTGACCATAAATTCTTTCAAGTTTTTCAATAAAAGTTATAATGACAAGATAGTTGAGTATGATCAAATACTGCTTGAAAGTGATTGGTACAGTACTTCAGAAACACCAGAAAAGTACCATAGGAGGACCTATGGGTAAAAAAATGAGCAAAGGAAATTTTTTGATCATGAAGAATAAAATCAAGGGAAGTTTTCAATCAAGGCAGCAAGGTAAAAATGGTGAATGAATGAAAATCATACTTACTCCTTAGCTTCAGATGAAGAAGTTCTGTCATCATGCTCATAAAAAGACCCCTTTTTAGGAATATATTGTGGATTCCTGCGGTCCTCATCATCATCTAAAGGATGCTTCTCTTCATCCTGTATTACACATTAAAAAAAAATGTTTGCAACTATTTACAATCAAATAATGGAAGAAATAATGAGCACCTAAGTCCTACTAAAACTACCTGTTCATCCTTGTCAAGGCCTCCTTCTGAGAGAGCCTCCAAGCCACCTTCTTCATCAGGAGCTCTTTCATCATCGTCACCTTCAGATGGAGTGGCAAGATTGTCTTCTGCATCAGTGTAATCACTTTCTCCACCTCCACTACCCTGAAATATACACAAAATTTGGAATTTCAAGGATTGGACTGTTAGCAATTAATGCTTCTCAGCCTGATTATGTAATTTCACAAGAAAAGCTAAATTTGCTATTGCGGCAATGCATTTTCTTTCATTTTTATAAATAACCTGATGACATGACCATGGCAAAACTCCAGTAAGCCTCAGCAACTATCTTTTTGCTTGCATACATTAAGCCACAGAATAAAAGAAGCAGTATTTTGGTTCATGCCAAGCTTCAAAATCATGCAGTATTACCATGTATTTGCTCAGCACAAAAACATAATCATATACACATAGGATGTTTTAATTAATTTATCTGCTTTTGCACATAACCTCTGTGCAGTCTTCCCTAGTACACCTCCTGCAGAATATATACAAGGCATCTGTCCCTTAGTCTTTTGTGGAGCATGGGAATTATACTTCCACCACGTGAATTTTTAGTGCATTGGGAGGCCCGCTTTTCATTGACACAGTAAAAGAAATCATACTACCCACCTGATTTCCATATGATTTTTGACTAATAAAAATATGGAATCTGCTACTTGTGTTTTGGTGCAATTTACTTGCGAAAAAAAAAACATAGGCAGATGTGCCAACTTTCTCAGATAAAAATGGCACATAAAAAGGTTAAGTCACTTGAGGATTTTCCTGTCAAAAGGAGCTAAATTATTTCTTCAAGTATTATAACACCAATAAACTATGAGTTTTAGCAGATCACACTCAAGATCTCAACAAATTCTCCACATCAGCCACTTTCTCCAATCCATGCCTGTGAAATGGTTTCAACTTAACCCATGAGCTGAAATTTGTCTTACCTTATATTATTGATTCTTATTTCCCTACTGATAGAATAACTTGAACTCTTTGCCTGAAGGTCAATATTTTTTCAAATCTAACATAGAGCAAAAAGGAGGATGCCCAAATCCTATGGGATTTTTCCTAATTGCACCCCACAATGAAACCAGTACCAGTCAATTGAGTGCCTCAAATAGTGCATAAGTGCCAATTGTCACACTGTGATCCAAGGTTGCCCTGATCCGCCAGAAGGCGAAGAAATCGGGTGACATAGTTTAGCCAATTTCGACATATAAGTTGCCAATACCAATCATACGTGTATGACATCTTCAATTCCCAGGGTCCAAGTACAAACTCGGAGCCTGGGAATTGAAGATGTCATACACATTCTTTCAGTATTGTTGAAAGTAGGTATTCTAAAGAAATGCTCATCTTTTGACATGCAATGTGATTTCACCATAACGGAACAGAACGGAACCTAACCTAACTGAGTTTTTGGCCCTCCAATGGATCAGGACAACCTCGGATCACAGTGTGAACAATAACACTTATGCACTACTTGAGGTCCTCTATCAATCAGCAATGGCTTCATCATTGGGCACAATTAGGCCAAAAATGAACATCCTCCTTTGCATGTTAGAAAGAAAATGCAGTTCAGAGAAATAAATCCAGAGAAACTTTTCTCCAAGATTTATACTCTATTGAAATCCTCACAGGACTTCATGGACACCTTATATTTAAACTTGAGCATGTCACCAATGATCAGAACATCTGTTGACTATGCTTGGGCACTTACCAAATCAGCTTCTTCTCCAGACTCAGAGATATTATCAGAATGATCAACTGGTGCACGAACACGTCTTCTCCTCCTATCTGGAGGCACAACTGCACTAGTGGACATACTGAAAGATTCTTCTCTCCCTCTCTCACATCAATGGTACTTCAATTCATCAAAAGTGATTCAGAACTGAAAGAAGCCATACATAGCTTAAATAATAAAGACAATGAAAAAAAAAAGTTAAACTAATAGAATACCCTAACGATCTGCCTTAATGGTCAAGCCAAATAAAATCCAGCCCAGGCAGACAATGAAAAGCAATTCATCTCAAAGAGTAGACTTACACTCATAAGTTCAATTTCACATCATGTGGGGTTCATATGACATTTTAAACTGTCTAATCAACTTCACAGGTCTGAATATCACTGTCCTGGAGGAGTACATACAGTGCAAAACAATATAAAATATAATGAAATGAAGATATAAGAAAGACCTTCCGAAACATGAATCAGCCAAGTGCGAACATGCATGAGATGGAAAAACTTGATTAACCCCTTAACCCTTTCAGTGCCATGGGAACTATATATAGTCAATCAAGCCTACGGATCAGCTGCATGGCACTAAAAGGGTTGATCGGGGTGACTGCCTTTTTTAGGTGTCCTTGCATTTAGATAGCCTGCAAGATTCTGAGTGGATGCCAAAGGGCACATGGATCTCCACATGTTTAGAGATATTCTGCTAAAAAGGAAATGCAGCATTAAAACAACTCCAGGGTATGAAGCCACTTCCCAGTATGCAACAAAAAAACTCCCTGGTTAAAGGGTTCACTTCAACTCATCACTCATGAGTCACGTTAATGCAAACAGATAGTTAACTCAAACCTCAATACAAACAATTTAAAATATTCAAATCCAGATTGTGTACTATACACTTCAGAAAATAAGCAAGAAATATTAGATTAGCACTTGTCATTTGTGAACTGAGTAGAATGGTGCATACCAGTCCTACGAAGTAGAATTTAAAAAACTGAACAAACTGCAAATCTTGGGACAAACTAATAGGATATTACATTTGCTTCTTGAAATATGGGGCATAGATGATGCTATGGTGAATCTGGAATGACTGGAAATTAAAAAAATAAACTCAATGGAATTCACTTAAAATAAAATCACATTAGAAATAATATGATATTTTCAAATGCATGAAGACAAGTTAAACTAACAAAATGTATGTCACAAGTGAAGGTTCCAGAAGGAAGATGGATTACTGAGAGGCAAAATGTTGGGTTTCCATTGTGATAGGGATGGCATGAAGAGGTGCAACTGAATGCCCTGGGTTTGGTTATGTATTGGTAGCACACCTGACTGGCAATCAGGAGGCCTGGGTATGATTCCTATCTGTTCCCTGTTGTTCTTTCATTCTCTCATGACATCAAATACCTCCCTCTACTTGCCACTGATGTTACACTTCACTTTGGGGCAAGCATGACACATTTTTCTAGCTGGCCTCTTATAAGGCCTTCACAAATGATAAAATTATGATATACCTAGATGCAGGCTGGAGTCTACAATTATCCTATGGATAGGCCAAGGCCTGCAATAAGACTCAGTACCCATGTCCTCCTTGACCATGTAATAGGTCTATATAGTTTGGAAGAGCCAAAACTCTTTGGCAGTGGTGATTCCCTTCCTTGTAAGGAGTCACCATTATGGCACTGTCATGCACATTGTTATGATAGGTGAAATCTTTGGTTGAGCTTGAAAATCAACCAAAACAGAGTACATGTTGAAAGTTAAGCTCATGATATGAGGGATGATCAAGAAATAAGGGGGAAAATAAAGGTGGCACACAGACAGCACTAAAATAAGGAGTTACAAGGAATAAGACTGATCTATCCTATCAACACATGGCATTTTTCACTTGAGTGACACTCATGCATATGGAATATCCCATGCAGGAGTGTCCAAGTCAAGTGAGATATTGTCTGACTCAAGTCAAAAACACAAGAATCAGTAATAACGTAAGTACGCAAAAGTCGACCCGTGCACAAATTTGGACGGAATTCCGGTTCACTTCACGGACCTCACCATTATAATGACATACTGCCCTCTGTGTCTTCGTCTTCGAATCCATGTTTTAAGCGAACCTTAAAATGTGTCTCACAGAGAATGCATCATTGTTAATCCATATAGTCAACCGGAAACGAGCTCCTTAAATTACATCATTCTTACTTTAAGTGAGGCATGCTGAGATCATGGTTACAAATGTCCCTGGTATATATTATGTTGTGGTACTTACTGGTGGCTCTAAGCGTTGATGGTCGTAAATATAGTGTTCTAAGGTAACTGAAGAGNCTCCCACATTTTAGTTAACTTTATGATAGATCATCGCTTTACAAGCCAGTCAGTCTGTGGTCTGGCAGACAGTCTATTCGATTAGAAAATTCGGAGACGATATGATGCAACGCGTAACGTGCAAAATGGTGGATGCTTAGTGAGGCTAGGAAGCACGATCACAGGCCCGACTTTGAGGAACCGCAGGGTCAGCTTTCGCGCTGTTGGTTTGATTCATGTGTCCAAATATATTATTGCATTTCAATGCTTCTTGCTATATCATTACTAATGATGCAAAGGCTTTCAAGCTGATATTGTAGATCACAATCCAACTTTTACAGATAAACACACTCACGACCCTGTGTGAAGCATTCGTTCAGTATGGAGCCTCTCTTGTGCAACACGTCATTGTACTAAGGAAACGGGCTCGACTTTCGCGTAATTACTATAACAGGCCTTTAAACAGCATCTTTCACTTGGCTTGGGCTGAATTCTTCTCACAAAGGAAAATGATTTTGACTATGGCATAGTTTGGTTTCCAATTATTAGCTTTACCAGCATAATTTGTAGGCATATCCCTCTGATTTTGTTACATTAGCAATCTCTGAGGGTGGGTGTATTCAGGTTAAATGGACAAGTATTTATTCTCATATATCTGCTGGGGGATGCAAAGGATTTGTGTCGAAACTAAGCCTAGGAACTAGATCTTCTAAATTCTTTTTTAAACAAAATTCATTCTTTACTTTTTGCAGGAATCCTCTAAAACAGGCTTAGGTCCATAGGGCAACTTTAAATCACGGAACAATTCATGCACCTAGACCAACCAGTCAGTCACGCCTTCCCCAGAAGCGTAGCCAATGATCATTGAAATGCAATCTTTAAGTGTTCCTAGTGTTGAAGTACCAAACTTGATCAACTTTCCCCAAGTGCAAACAGCAAGCACGACTCAGGTATCCGGTAAATGGGTTTTCTGGTTATCAACTTCACTTGGCTTGATCAGCCGTTCGATACAGCTAGGCCTAGCCTATGTCAAAGCAGGTCACCGATGCACATGCTATGCCACGGCAGACACATGAACCAGTTCGCAACAAGGCTTACGGTTGCATTTCTACCATGCTACAATTTTCTCTTCGAGGAGCAAGTTTTTGAGAGATATTTTTATCGTCCGAGCTGGTCCCCATTTGTCATTGGAGTCGATTAGACAGGTAATAAATTAAGATTTACAGGAATATCACACTGTCCGTCGATCAAAATAATTTATAATATGTTGCATGTGGATCATATGATCATGAGTCACGTAAGTGGAACGCTATGACCAGCTACACTGCGATGAATCGCGTTAACATGGCGGCGTATTTGTAATCATTCGGAATCGTATTGCAGACTCGCACAGTTGCAGGTGTCCTAATTTTGTGTAACACGGGTTGCGACATCTCGCCCCAGAATTCTTATGGCTAAAAAATCCTATGATTACCTTTTCAAACTCCTCCTGATCGGCGATTCAGGAGTAGGAAAGACTTGCATCCTCTTCCGCTTTTCTGATGACGCTTTCAACACAACTTTCATTTCTACAATCGGTAAGTGAATGTTTAGATCTCTGTTAAGAAACGATGAAGTCCTGGTAATTAATAGACTAGTAACCATGTGACAGCAGGAGCTGTTCCTCCTAATCATACTTTCGAGCATATAGCTGGCCTAGGGTAATTCGCCTCTGATAAGCTCCTCGGCCTAACACCCCTGGACTAGGCCTAGTAGCATCATCAAACTGAATGGGGTATATACGGTGAATATAAAGTCTGTTGTCAAGGGATTTACTCAGCAATGGTTGATTCCAGAAGAAAATATGGGCAAAGTTGCACATCAGTGAATGATTGGTATAAGGATAGTGGGAAGTTTGACCTTGAAGGTCCCATGTCATGGGAAATGTCAAGTTTTTAGATAGAAACGAACAAAAAAGGGTCAATACAAAGATATTGGAGAATCTTCAATAGATTTAGCATGCAAGAGTGTGTTAAACCGTAAAAGTTAACCAATCAAACTTATATTTTTTTTTATAAATTTCCGAGCAAAGTGGAATCCATAGCATGTAAATATTAATGAACCACAGCACAGACTCCTTTATTTTATCTTATTATGTGAATATGTTATGTATAACATTATACATTGCAATTTAATAACTGACATGATGTGTCAGGGATGCTGGTCACTTGGACATGGTGGATATATCTCTCATACTGTCTTGACGGGTTAATGTCACTGACATTTTTTTTGGAAAACATTGCCCATGTATATACATTCTTTTTACTGCATGGCACTGTTGCTTAATAGAGATGGTGATGCATTAAGGAAGATGTGGCCCTGCAGCTTTTCACTTTAGGGTCTTGACAACTTTGTGCAGTGACTAGTTGCAATTCTTTTAAGTGAGGTATGGAATAGGCCCAAGCTGTTCCTAAGCTATTAACAGAGCCAAAACACATGGTTCTGCTTTTGGTCATCCTTTGACAGGAGTGTCAAATCTGTTGTGAGAACATAATCTTGTGACTTAAAAAGAAGCCACATGTCCAGAACATTTTTACTTTTGCTTTGCCATTCCTGTTTGACAGCAGTGTCTTGCAGAGAAGGAGGGTGTACATAGGCTATTTCTGGAGCATATGTCACACTAGCCTTAAACATAATACCAGCCTTCAAGGTCATGAGTGATTTGATATGATTTGACTTATTGAGGAAAATAAACTTTACGTCTCTTCAATACAGCCTGTGAAGCTATTCACTGGGTGTAATAACACTAGATGGTGCGTTTTAAGTATGGTGCCGCCCATGATGGGGGGGAGTTGAACGTAAGGAGGAGAATGGGACAATTAAT